AGTACCTTGCCCCTTTGACCATTCCCCTCCTGGTGTGAATACAGTGTTTTCTCAAATCAGCTCTGTCTCTCATACCATACTGCTCCCAGGACAGCATCTTCTTATCACGTGACAAGCAGCAGTTCTCTCCTATTTTAGGTATAAACTTAAATCCAAATTTGTAGGAAATCTCTTTACATTACCAAAACTTCCCAAGCCGTCCCTTCCCTGAACTGCTCTCTTTGGTATTAGTTTGATTTCTCAGAGAAAGGAGAGAAAACTTTTACACTGTGATGAATCATTAACATTCATGGCACCCCATCCAAACACTATTATTAATAATGTCCATGCAACACAGCTGTTTATATAAAATAGATGCAGCATGTATCTAATTTTTCCATATTCTATAGGTCTGTGATCATGGTAATCTGTTTCCCATGAAAGACTCATCCCTCTTTTCAAATTAAGTGAATGTCTATTTTTAGAACACAGAAAAGCCAACAAGGCAGACAGATACTGGATGTATATGCATGAAACTGTAAAGCCTGAAAAAGACTTGGAAAAATTCTGTAACTAAAGTGCTACTGAAATATTCTGTAACTCCTGCCTCACTTTTGTCTCCATATATAGATATATATCCCATTAGTGAAATTCAATCCTAAAGGGAGCTGGCAACCAAAAGTAGTACAACAGTTTTTGACATTAAAATACAGCTCTCTCTTCGACCTCTCTCTAATTTAGAAATGAGATTTAAATTGCATACAAGTTTTTCATAATAATGGGATCCTTTCACCTCTAGATATTTTTGCCACTGTTAAAACTAAACTACAAGACTCCAGAAGATAAAATGAATCCGTAACTGTCATCTTCAAAATTACAAATGAAAACATGTATTAAAAAAACAAAATCCAGAAACTTATGTCCCATTTAGCTCATCTGTTTTAGTCTATGTTTACCATATTAGATTACATCTACTAACAGGAATCCCTTGTCCAGTTTTCCATTTATTAAATATCCACTCCCCCCCCTGCCCCAACTGCAATAAATAACATCCTCCTTTATTTATCTGTTCTAGAAAAAAGACGGGGAAAAGAAAAGAAGAAAATAAAAGAAAAAAACCCCATAATCTATGATACAATTATTTTGGGTCCACCAAACTTAAACCCCATTTCTGACATGCTTTTTTTTTTTTTGAGAGTGAAGGAAATAGGCAAAGTTCCATCAGCAAAACCGGACTGAGTATACAGCAATGATACAAGATAAGGCTTTATTTAAGTAGCAGTAACAAAGGAACCAGCACGTTCCTTTGAAAGCCAAAAGATTTTTTTTTAGTATTATGCTATTTTCTGAAGTGCTGGCATCTGTAGGAAAGCGATTCAAACTAATAATTTTGATATGCCAAAGTATTACAAATAAGGGCAGTAGGTCTTTTACGGCACAGTTATGTACCAATCACTATTTACCCTTTCTAGGTACAGCTCTTAATTTTATTCAGCAATCTTAAAGATCTTTGTACTGAATTGACAAATCTACATAAATTAATCTCTCACAGAAAAAGGCCCACTTACTATCAGTGGAAGTACACTTGGTAGATCAGCTAATTAAAATTCAATTTTGAGAAGGCATATTTTTTTCCACTTTATTCAAGACACATAATCTTAATTCATAAAAACGAGTGTGCAAGGCATGAGCAGCGCTGTGATGAAGATGCAGTACCGGTCATGACACTCCAGGTATTCTTAAATCAATCCATACCTTGGTAAAAGTGCATCCTCTCTGGTTCCTTTGTAACTCTGCTCTCCCAATCTCAGTATGCTTCCCCTGATCACTGTGATTTAAGGATCTCCTTATAGCCAGAATAAATTAGTTCAAAATCCCACTGGATTTTTGTCTGAAATCAGGCTTCCTGCTGGTATCAGCAGCCGACAAAAGGGGACAATCCCCCAGGAGAGGCAGTTAACGATGGCTTTTACTATCTTTCTGTTACCTTAGGGCAGATTTTCAGCCAGGGCTCTCACTTCTGTTTCAGCCCCTGCACAAGAGGGAGTAAGGTGGCAGCAGCATAAAAGAATTCAAGTAAACATTTCATATAGGTAGAGAAGCATACCCCAGTGTGGGCACTGAAGAACACACCTACAACATTTTCTTGAAAAGGCACCTTCATGCAAGCTCTGGCACGAGGGGCAGACCAACAGCATGGCTGTAGCACTGGCACAAAAGTCAGTGTAAGGAGGTTGCTAACACTTGTTTTCCACCCTTCTGAGCAAGGCAGATTCCATCTGCTGGGAGTAGTTCATCAAAACTGCCATTGCCCTTGCTCTGACCTGGGCAGCACAATCCGAATGACAAGGCAGACACTGCAGAGCTGCTCAGAAGTTGACAGTAATTGCTGGAGCTCAAGCTGTTCAGGGGGTACAAGAAAGATGTAAGATGTGTTTAAAGCTGTGGTAAAATTAAAAGGAGGGATTGGGTTTATAAACAAAGACTTAGGCAACTTCTGGAATAATAGAAAGAGGAAGATTGATTTGAAGAGATGTTTTCCCTGTGGAGGGGTCTGAAGACAATGTACATTTCAAGAGAAGCGTTCTTGCATAAACCTCTGGGAGATAACGGGCAAACTGTAAGCACTACTTGCTAGATTCTCTTTTCTAAGTAAGTCTTTTTTCTTGTAGACACTGACTCACTGAAGTACATACCTCATTATTCAGTCTCCTTTTACTAACATTTTTACCAGATACTTCATGAAGAAGTAAAATCAATGACAACTGTACTCTGACTTCACCACCCAGATGACATACCATTTCCTGCAAGTCAGCTTCTCAGAGGATTTTAAAAAAAAAAGAGGCTCCTGTGGCCCATTTGGAGCCAGAAATCCTAAATTCAGCTTTGGCAGCAACTCCCATCAGGGCTTTCCAGAGGGCTGCATGGGATTACATTTTCTAAAGGTTTAAGAGTGTGTCTCATTGTTAAATGTGATTTAGACTAATGAGCTAAATTTATTAAAATTTAAATTTAAAATTATAAAATTTCATGCTGTCTTGTCCAGTCCAGTAAGGGGTAGGGTTCTCCCACAGCTCCTGACAGATTTAGATGCAAGGGTCTGCAATACTGCAACCGGGTTCTACAGCTTTCTGATGGAGGCGACCGGGAAAAGCAGACAGCAACAGACACCTTGGCCCAGCAGATCCGGGGCAAGACTGTACTCACAGGCTGGGCTGTGAACTTGAGCAGCACCCCTTCTGCTCAAGTTCACAATTAAGCAGCCGAGATTAAAGGAAACAGCATATTCTGTGGCTGCAACCAGAATCACCAGAGTCCACCCGTCAAAGGTCACAAGCTCCTAAGTGCCTGAGACACTTTTAAAAGCAGATGTGGGTGCCCTTGACAGTGGCATGCAGCCTCTCTGTGCCGCGTTCCCTTCTCTTGCTCTAGTCCTTGTTTCAGTGTGGAAGTTTTTTTGTAGAGGAGGGGAAGGTAAAGCAAATGGAATACTTATCAATGGAATTAAAGTGTTTTATTTCATTTGCAAATTTGCAACAGAAAAATAATTTAGAAAAATTTAGATGTACCGTGGTGTACTTGACCTAAATTCTTCAGTGCTGTTCCTACATTCTGTGAGAGAGTGGAAGTAACTCCTAACTGTGTGAAATTCTGAATGTGTAACATGAAAATTGATAAGCCTACTCACGAGCTGCAGTATTTACTTTCTGAAAATTAAATTGACGGATATTCTGATGCTTTGTTTTCTATCGACAATAGGTCACCACTCCACAGAAACAGCAGCTTGAAAGGGGAAGAGACGTTTCATGTCACATAAGAGTCTGTGAACTTTTGCATGAAAGGGTGGGGTAGGTAGGAGTGCAACTATGGCTTAGTAGTTGTATTAGGTAGATGTTTCATTTATCATTATAGGAGTTTTTAGTTTAAGATTTCTATTAAATAACAATTTTAAAAAACATAACTCAGTGTTTTGATGCCTGTAGCTCTGCAGGTTAGTCCTAGTACCTAGATAAATCCAATAAATTGGGTTTAAACAGACTCCAAACTCCTAAAAAATGCCCAGTACTCAATCATAAATTATCAAACTGTGATAGAATATGCTGTGCTAATTTGGTTACTTTTTGCAGGATAGCTGAAAAAAGTACTGACAACCTAAGCTAAGCCATTGTGTTGGTTTAGGCCCTGCCGGGACCGGAGAGCACGTTGCTGTTGTCCTTCCCCCACCCTCAGCTGGTCGGACTGGAAGTTAGGCACAAATCCTGGGGTAAAATAAGGAGAAATTTAATACAACAGTGTGATAAAACAATCTGAACAACAACAGTAGCAATGATAACAACAATAAACAGCAATAACAGTGAACAAGACAAACGATATACAGAGAAATACCACTAAATGGTCACAGAACAAAGCCGACGCGTGGGTACCGCCACCAAAAAGCCAAAGAGAAATTAAAAAGGTTCCGCCCCTGGATCTGACACCAGCATGGTATGAATAACCCGGCTGGAGATCCCTTCCCCTCTCTCTCCTGGGGAAACCTAACCCTATCCTAGTTGAACCAGAACAGCCATTCAGCCCACACATGTGGCCCATAAACAGATTTTAGAAGCAAGTTCTACCTGCTCAAGCTTTTTGTTGGATCAAGACCTCACTTTTTACCCATCCAAAACTCCATTTAAGGCAAGAGAAATATTGTCTGAATTAAAGACTAAGAAATGGATATGGACCCTTACTTCTGGCCAGACATTAGCACCGTATCATTTCTTTGCCATTGTAATTCTACCCCATTACACTACCTGTTGTTTGAAGTTCATCTCACTACAAGTTTTTTCGGAAACAAATTTAGGAGCACACATACATGAATAAGTGTGCAGCCTCAGGTTAAGTTTGGTTTTGGATGATGGAATAGCACTGCCTGTCAATTTGCTTACATTCACCAAACCTGTTACTGAAACAGATCCAGAGCTCGGGGAAAAGAAGGAAAGGTCTGTGCTTCACGTTCTTCCTTCACAGCACACCTCTACTTCTGTTCAGAAAGCCAGGAAACCTTACTATTTCTGAAAGAATGTTTTCTTTTTTCTGAGCTTTAAGTGGATGGCAGTTATGACAAAACCTGTCAGGGTTGCTGCTGTGCCAGAAACCACGTAGGCAATTCCCAGGAATGGGTTACTTCCTCCGCTCCATGCCACGGTTGAAAGAATCACATGTTTCCTCCCCTTGAATTTGGTAACGGGGAAATCTGGTAGAAGGCTGTTAAGGTTTCACTAACAAAGTTTACATTATTTCCAGGAGGAGAAAAAGTAGTGGTGAATGCTCAAAAACTTGCCAAGGCATAAAGAGCCTGGAGAATTGCATTTGCTGCAAAAATTCCTTTAATTGATTGTGATGTCTCTGCTATTCCGGGTCCAAAAACGCAGTAACAGCTGGTGGTAAGAAACCCACTGCTTTTAGACACAGTCTCTGTGTGAACATGGAAATACTTCTTTTTTTTTACATTATAAATTTCAGATTCATAATTTATGTAACTGCTACTGTGTTAATTTGCTATTAAAATTCAGTTGAAAATGAGCCCTTTGGGCAGTTTATCATGATGATATTCCATGCATTCTCATTCTCTCCAAAGTCATGAGCTGCCGTTTGAGTAACAGGCTCAACTCCATCAGCGCAGGCTACAGAAAATCCACCTGTAGTGCCTCATCAACCCCAAAACCAGCTCTTTTCATGGCGATTTAGTTTGGGGTGTTTTGCTCGGTTTCTTTGCTGATTTACTATGCAAATCCCACCCACTTCCATCTCATCGTAACTATCTAATAGTCTGGGGTAACGTGAAAGGATACTATAGGAAATACGGAAAGTGTAATTCCCTGCTGGGAGGCCATCAGCAAACTGCCTTATCCGTTTGACACGACGGTAAAGATTCCTGAAGGTGGCGAAGGCTGACACTCGCATCCAGATAATGAGGTCCTCATTCACATAACCGTTGTTCCGTTCATCTTCCTTGTCTAGCAAATATACTGGTTTATGCCAGTAAGGAGGTCTTGCTGTCCCTGATGGAAAAGGAAGAAACCAGGGAAGACATACTGTAAGTATGAACAGTGGTTGGTGACTAAGTTCTTGGCCTACTCACGGCCAACACAGAATGAGATATGAAAGAGACACAAGACTCTGTCCGGTATTGAAAAGTTATATACGCTAGGTAACACTTTTCACCCAAGCATGCCCACTTCCCTCAAACATGAATAAACAGAGTTTAACAGAACCCAGGGGTTGTTACACATTAGAAACTTAGTGCAGGAAAAACAGTGACTTGCACAAATGAAAATACTGTTTATTCTGGATTCTTGCCTCTCCAGCAAGAAACATGCTCCTCTCTACAATGAGGATCTTGCCTTCATTTTTATACATTAATTTATGCCTGTACAACTAGAAAGGTACCTTTTTGCAGTCTAACAGCACAAGCTTATGACACTTAAAATCTGTCATAGTAAAACTACTTAGATAACTCTTGCATATTGCATCCAGTACAGCATTGCCCTGATCCATAATAGGGAACTTCTAGTCCCACTTCAATGCAAATCAACCATAACAAGGAAACAGCTGCTTGAAAGAACTAGTGACAGTGGCAGCCTCACTTGTCTCGCAACTGCCTGAATCTGCAAAGACATGAAGAACGAAAGATGTAACATGCAATTCTCCTTCATAGATGTTTTCAATAGCAGAAAATAAAGTGACTGCATCCTTGCTTTCTCTGGACAGACTGCTACAAGGAACTATACAGAAGGGTGTTGATGTGGCCCAACTTCAGTCTTCCAAAACATCTTTCTCCCAATTTCTATGGTCAATGATTTTTTCTTTTTTCAAAGTGATACTTTGGCTCAATCTCTCTTCTGCTTTCAGTCACCGTCTAAAGCTGCTTCTCCAACCTGCTTTGGGAGGTATTTCTCCCAAAGTTAATTTGTCTTAAAATGAGAGACCCTCACACAGGAGAGGGGAGGTAGGGAAGCCATTGAAAAATAAGGAATACTAGTGGAACCCTTCTTACCTGCAAACGCAGAAGAGAGATTGTAGGATTTTGGATTGCGAAATTTTACATTTTTATCTGTCCACCAACTGTTCCCGGTCTTCAGCACTGGTACTTGAATAGCAGATGAGTTAAGATTGTAAAAAAGATCAATAGTATCTGCAGGGAATACGAGAAGCAAGACATGTGAGTAAAAGACAGTCTTTCTAATTGCCAGTATGACTAACAAAAACTGCCAGACATTGAAGTGTATTTCAAGTGAATAGAACACAAAAAGAAATCCCGGGACAGGTTTCGTCATGACTGTGCAGACAGCACTGTACATTCGACAAGGTGGTTCCAGAGCCTTAGCACTTCTGAAGTTTTAAAGCCTGAACATACTCCTACCAATAATCCTACTGAATCCTTGTGCAGAAATATGTGCAAGTATCTCATGTCCATCAACTCCTTTGTGACTAACTTTGTCACAAATCACTTTCGGAGCTCTCCAGCTAGTTACAGAAGTTACTCTCCTAGTTAGCTTTCCCCAGCATTTCTTTGACAGCTGTCCTAAATTGACGTGTTTGCAGGGACCAGGGGAGAGGTGAAAGCACAATCAAGGGAATTCATGACCCTTTGGAGAAAATTTTGCTGTAGTTTTATGATAAATAGACCTTCTCTTCCAACTTGGACATGAACACTTCCTTCAATCAAAAAACATTTAGTTAAAATTGCGCTTAACTGCGCCATTTTGTTTTGGTGGGAAAAAAGCACTTGTTTTTATCCATTGTATTTTCCTACTTAGATTAGTTTAACTTAAGGCAAAAACATTATAGGTCTCATTAACATCTGTGTAAACATCTGGGCAGGCACTGAGATGACAGGCAGGGATAGTTAGATGATATGGATGGGGAGGGACTGCTTTTGAGGAAGCATGAAAAATTCAACTCAACTGCATGAGCAACAATGAAAACACTTTTTTTTTTTTTGGGTCCTGCTGCAAAACCTGTGTTCACACAGCTTCTTAAGGCTCAGACACACTCTTCTGAGTCAGTGATCATTCTGTGCCCAACCACCTCCCTAGCGGCTTGTCACTAGTGTGTTAACTGCCAAAAGTGAATGAGAAGCACCCTCTCTCACAGCAGAGGGACAGAAATGAGCTACTAGAGGGGAGATTCAGACATCACCCCCTTCCCCCGCATCACTAGCAGCTGGAACTGTTCCTCACACTGTGCACTAATGACAGATGCAAAGGCAGACTCGGTAGAGACCGTCCTTAGTTCTCTGCCTTCTGTCCTGCAGCCAGGGCTCCAGAACAGTGTGGGCTGCACACAGGTAGCTCTGCTGGCCTAGCTCTGAGCCCAGACCAGTAAATCAGATTTCCAGGGGAGCAGGTGAGTGAGTGCACAGGCAGATGAACACCAAGTGTTGGCGCCTCTTCAGAAGTCCTCCAGTGTGGGTGGCTCAGCTGCTTGGCAACAGCTGCTGCACTGCAGGGCTGCTTGGAATAAGTTAAAAAAGGGGGGGAGGGGGGCCAAGCAAAAAAGGATGGGGTAGGGAAGAAAAGTCTGTAGAAGTTTTTTGTCTCCTCTCCTCCCATAGAAATCCATTCTTAATCTGCCAGTGTCATGGCTAGGAGCCCTCTAGGGTTCAAACTAGATGTACTCATAGGCAGATCATGCCCACTCGGTTACTACAAACGAGATCAAATCTGGGATTAAATTGAGTAAGACTATGTATGCTTCCAGCACTCAAAGAACAAAATGCAACCACATAGATGCAAAGGTTGAAACCAATGTGAAGAACATGCCACCTGCTTTTCAGCACATCACTGTGAGAAGGCAGAATCTGGGCTCTCAAACCACTGCACAAGAACCTATTTTTTAGCAAGGAAATACACTAAATCTGTTGTATCATTGTTTTTTTTTTCACCAGGAACTCAATTCCTCAGTCCTGTTGTATATTCACACTGAAGAGGGCCTTATAAAACGAAAAATCTTCCTCAGTTTCAAAATGAGGGGCAAGTTACTAAACTGTAGAAAACAGAGCCTCATTTTCACCACAGCAGCACTGCCAAACAAAACCTCTTGTGGAAGAAAGAGAGCTTGCAACATCAGGACGCATCTGGATTGGGGTAGTGGAGGAGTTTCAAGTGGAAATGAGACAGATGTGGAAGGTTCCTACTTACCATTGAACATGCTGTTGGCAATAGCACCGCACGGAGCCATGGGCGTCCCATTGTGGTAGGTGGTAAAAGGTGCACAGTAGCTCTTCTTAATCTGCAATCAAGGTCACAGAACAGTCAGGCACAGAACTTGGGTGTTAATGTTCTCCTCCCATGCCTTCTTCCGAAAAGCCACTGAATAATTAAGTCTCCGGTACCTTTCAGTCACATTGGATGAACGGGTGTGTAGCTGAGGAATACCCTTCATCTCATGGTGAGTAACTTAAGGTCTTCACCAAACTTTGCAACTTGCAAACTCCAGACTACAAAAACTCCTTTGGGGATCTGCTATTGTAACATAGCTATCATTTTAAATGTTCCAGTGAAGCCTTGGCTTACCCTAGAACATCTCCTTTTTTCTTCTTTTTAATTCTGACATGGACTGCTTCAGCAGTGGAAAACAGCGGATGCAGCCAGCCACACTACTGCAGTTCTGTATGGGGAAACCCTGATGCATGAAGAACAAAAGCCCATCTCAAATTTACCACATCTCTCCTGTGTCAGTTCATGTGAAACTATGAATCTCCAGGTTTAAACACAGAAACATTTTCAAGTAACTCTTAACAAGCTGTGTATCTGATTGGCACCAAAGCCAAGAACGGTTGCACCTGGATGCAAACAAGCTGAGGGGACACCTGGGGAAGCAGTTGTACGAGGAACACATCTTGAGAGTTACAAGCAGCATTTTATAGAAACAACAGATTATTATGACACAACCATCACATGTACTTAGAGGACTGTGTAGACTGCATGTATATTAAGAAATGCTACTTCTAAGCCAAAGAAAACGTCTTTTAGATTTGTAAGTAAAAAACCTGAATGCCATGATTGCATTCCCTGATTTCCTTACGCAGGCCTGCTGCAGGTGATGCTGTATAGCGTTCTCTTTAGAACTCTAAATTCCATACTTAGAATGCTACATGATCACCTATTTCATCATAAACCTTTTACTGCTCCTTCTCCACTTCCAAAGCCAGATGGCAAAATAAAAGATCTAGAATAACTTAATTCCCTAACCCTGTAATAAAAGCACAGCTTAAAACATTTCTGGCTAAGTTGACTAAAAACACTAGAAGGAAAAGCTTTCTGCAAATTTACTTGAAAGAGACAATATATTTTTAATCAGCATTCCTACAAGGTGCAGGTTTGAGAATTGCAACACTGGACTGACATCTTTTATTTAGCCCCCAATCTTCCTCTCTTACTAACTTACTAGAAATAAGGGCCCTGGCAATCATAAAAGCAGAGACCAAACACTGAAAATCTGTACCTTCGTAATACTCTCTAGAGCCATCTTAACACCCTCACAGTTAGGCCTAGTTAGCTCTCCATGTGGTCAAAGATACACCCAATGGAAATACTGATGATCTAATAATATAAAGAAGAAAACTTACATTTACATTTCGACCCAACAATTGTGCATCACTTCTTGATATCACATATCGACGGTGGTTCTGATAGAAGTTTTGCAGGCCATAGTACATAAAAACATCACCCTACAATTCAAGGACAATTCCCTTCAATAAGCTGAGTTCATGTAGACAAAGAGAAATCCTATTACTTGCTAAAAAAGAGAGGGGAAGAGAATACTCAATTCATATTTATGTGTTGGAAACTACACCAAGCGATTACTTCAGCAGACACTGCCTATAACCTAGCCTTCACTCCAACTGAAAGTGTTAGTATTTTGGTACAAAATTAAACATATTTTAAATCACCAAATGAAACCAAACAGAAATGCTGGATTATCCTTTCACTCAAGATGGCACAGCTGGTCATGAACTTGCAATGACTACAAATAATTTCATGGAGGCAGACACTTATTTCCCATAAAAGAAGGTGCACAAAAAACTTCAACAAGTACCCATTAGCTCTTAATTCCTTCTGATTTTTTGAAAAATAAGACCTCCTCTCATCAATTATTTAAACCATTTTGAAAGTTCAGTCCTCTGATTAAAAGAAGAATGCTAGGCAGGCAAATATAAGCAAGAAAGAGGATTACTAAACTAAAACTACTAAAAAACCATTCAGTTAAATAAACATCTCATCCCAATCATCACTCTAATCTGAAGAATTACAGAGTATTTTAACAGCCTCTTCAATACTGAAGAACCCTAAAGTGACTATATAATTTAAATTGTACTGTAATTTTAAGGGATCATCAATGCAGTACTTAGCATAACATCTCTTTGGAGGGACATGAAGCCTTTTAACAGTCTCAGTGACATGACCCAGCAGTTTAGGACAGGAAATGAAAGATACTTTTCCCAAATGAAACTGAAGTGACATTACTAGACTTGAATTATTTGAAGGACCTTGGGGATTAGCAGCACAACCCTTGTAAAAAAGACTGCAGGGGTTTTTACTTATGACAAGCAGTCAGAGCTTCGGATTTCCTTCTCATTTGAGAGCTTAGCAATGCAATAACAACCAACTCCAGGGCAAGGGTTGGCTATGTACTGAAAGAAAGAGATACAGAGGTCACCTCCACAATCAAACACCATTTCCTCCATCCCCATCAAATCCTTGGACATCTCCCAACCAAGGACAGAGATAGCCTGCTCCTCATTACTTTTAACATGTACCAAAATCAACAGCAAAGTCAAAAATGTAAAATGTTGAGTATTTCATGTTTTAAAAAAGCACAAAGAAAATTCAGTCAGGAGCTGAACAGAAGAGAAATAGTATATTTTATCCTATAGGGATATAAGTGACAGGAGCTATTAAGCTACTTGAGTTCATTTTTTGTATCCACTTACCAATATATCTTCCTTCAGTGTGAAATTAACAGAACAGTGGCATTCCTTATTCCAGTTAGAGGAATTTTCACGGAGTTTTGAACAATCTGAGCATTTATCCGAATAATCAAACTGTCAAACAAACAAACAAGCAGAGATACTGTATTAAAGGCCATGCACATAGGAAAAGGGTAGTGTTTTAGCTCCAAGACTTTTCAGAGCAGTTCTCTTGCAAGTGACTCTGGGCTGCTAAAAATTGACAGAGGCAGAGAATCAGGACTTGGCCTCAATGAACATTCACAGATTTTATCCCTAGTTTTAAACTGGTTTAGAGCCTTTTGCTGACTGTTGCAGAACCTCCACATCTGCTCCTCAGCAAAGGAGTGCTGAGTGAAGAACACTTCTGCAGCTTGGTCTGGCTGACCAAGGAACACTTGACAAATCACCGCAGGCATTACAGCCCACTCCTCTCAAACAGCCTGGATGTAGTGCTGAGCACTGGCTCCAACCATCACATCTCTGAACAACCCTGCCTCCAGGAGGCATTTCAACATGAGGGCTCCTTGCATTCTGCCCCAACAAACATGTATGTTCCTCTAGTACCAAACACTATCAAAGGGATTAGTTTATTTCCCTTCAAAAACCCAGGAAATAATGACAATGTGCCAGGTATTACCAGCCAGTGGCAGTAATTACCACCCAGATTTCAGACATTACTAGCCAGTGCTCGGATTTTATTGGTGATGAACTATCCCTGAGGATTTTCACAGGAATACTGGCTGCTGGACACTTCCAAGGCATGAATCCATTGCTACCATCTTTATCCAGAAGCAAAAATTCCATGCATTTTCCTTCCAAACACAGCCCCGTTTCTTCTTTGTGGAGTATCTAAGAACACCACCTCCAAACCAACCTGGATTTCTCTGACGCTGTTTGCGGACAGTATGAGGCAGACCCCCATGGCAAGGCAGAAGGCGCCTGTGAGGAAGAAGCTGGGGAGCACAGTTGCAGGGGTAAGCTGGGGCTTCCACGCTGGCAGCTTCTGCTGCTTGAAGGCGCTGTTATCCGGACATCTGGAAGGATGTGTCTCTCCTTCTTGCTGTAGAAAGCTCATCTTGTTTTTCATTTTCTTCTTGGTGAGGGGAAGGAGTCACATACTTGTGCTGGAGAGTGTTTAAGCTGAGATACTGTCCTTACTGTTGGGAGACTCTATTGTTTGTTCACATCTGCATTATGGCCAGGAATTACTTATTAACCAGATCTCTCTCTTCCTCATTTTCTACATTTGTGCCTGTATCCTCATGATCAGCTTGTACCAATCAAAGGATTATGCACTTTGGTCAGGGTGTCAAGCTCCTGCCTCCTGGAAAAGCTTGAATATCTGCTTTTGCCTGCCCCACAATTCAGCAGGATTTGTTATGCCTTATTCATTTGCAGGGATACTGCCAGCTATACTGGAATTTCTGTGTAACCTCAGATTCATTATCTCTTCTCCCTTCGCTTCCAGAGCTGCCAAGCTAACAGGCATGGCACACAATGAAAACAGCTCCACTCCAACTGCACTGGATGCTACTGGGGAGGACTGTAGGTACTGAGACAGCACTGGACAGAAAACATTGCTCTGCAAGACCAAATCAATTTTCTATTGATTCAGGTGCAAGATAAAGCTGTTAAAAGGTTAAGTGTTCTTTATCATGAAAGGGCAACTCATTCTCAAAACATCTGGGCTGGATCAATGGCCTTCCAAGATGCTGGCGATTTTGTTAATCTTTATTCATCTCTTAAAAAAAATCCATCCATTCACTACTATCCACAATGACAGAAAAATCACCCAGAGATCATCTATTTTTAATTTAAACAGACAAACAGAAGAATATTTTTTGCAACTTCAACAGTTTAACCAAAATAAAGTCTCAATATAACATACAGGTAATTTATCATGTAACAGCAAAATATAGCATTTGGCCAGCTCTAGAACCGATAGGTAAAAAATACTATTTTGACAAATTACTGAAATTCATACAACTTTTTCAAAGACCCTCGAGGGAAAGAACTAATTACCACTCTTGTGAGAGAAGTAAATGTCTCCTTTGAGACAGCAGAGGGAGATGACAGAAAATTGAGTTGTACAAAGACTTTCAGCCCCAAGTTTGCTCATCTTCAAATTCTTAAAAGTGGTATGTAGTAGTAAATCTAGCAGGTGAATACAATGTGACTAATTTCAGTATCACACTGTTCCTGCAACAAAAATCATGCTAAAACTGCAAACAAAAAATCTGTTTTGTTATTAAAAGAAAAAGAAACTCAGAAAAAGTTGCAATGTGCATTCTTTCTGTATTGACAGACCTCTGGGAAGTCAAAATTCTTGATTCCATCACCTGTTTGCCAATTATAGACAGGATAATAGTAAAATGTAGCTGCAAATGACTTCCTTGTTGGTAAAACCTTTAAAAGAGTCCCAGTTTCAGAGACCCCTCTCTGCACAGCTTTATAATACTCATCTCCAGCAGGTCAATTGTTTCTTTCTTTATCTGAAGAAAACAAAAATAAAATACAAGTATCAAAAGTTATTGATAATGCTTTGGTTAAATACCATTATTTATTTACTCAAACACCTTACTATAGGACTAGAAATTAATGAAGATGTTCCCATACAAGGTCCCGAGCTCTAGAATGTTTCTATTCTGTACAATACCTAGCGTTTGTTCTGCAATCCTGAAGTACAACTACAGCTCATGAAGTCCCATCTAAGATGGCTACAGAAAAGTTGTCACTGGTATGGACCTGATAAAACATGCCACAGCAAGAGGTCCATCCTGGGCTGCAAAATCCCCATGTGACTTTCCAGAGTATCAACCTCTATCAGGTAGTACAAGGGCAGTGCTGCACTGCAAGGGCCACAACACTGCCTGTGTCCGAGACAGCTGAACAGAAGCGAGCATTGAAGATCAGGTCTATGTGCTGCATGTACTTTGGTTTATAACACGGGTATGGCTGTAGTTTATTGCTTATCTAAAGATAAAAGACAAACGCATTTGAGAGTAAATATTGACTACATATTTCAGCAGGAACATAAGACTTTCCATCATCACGGTTAGTCCAGAGCCTCAAGCTTATAGCTCCCTCTTCCTACTTACAAATAACTTATTTGCAGATTTTCTCTCAGGATTATATCCTTTTGTGCCTCCGCTTTGCACAGGATTAAATGATACGAGAAAGCCTGATTCTATTCCACACTGCATGTGCTACATGAGGGTGAAAACAGTTGTCTTTTCATGACAAGTCCATTTCTTACAAACCTCTTTACTTTCATGAAGCTGAAACTTAAACTTTCCACATTTTTAAACTTACTCGAGGCTCAGTGTTTGTATTGTTTGCAGGCAATACAATATTGGTTTTTGTTGAAAAAACTCCATTTGAATCTTATGAACACGTAATCTGAGGAGTTGAGACAGCTCCGTATTGCCATCAACCTCTATACACAAAGCTTTCAAAGCAGGAAGCTTGTCCTTTGGTCAGATCAGAAAGCATACAATCAATTGTCATTTAAACCTTCATGCTTTAATATAACTCCAGGACAGAGTCTGATAAACTCATTTACCCCTCCTCTGGTTTCTTTGTGAGTTTTCTTTTTATTTCTTTCTTTCCATTGTTTGGGATGAATTAAGTGGGAGACACGGAAACAGAGAAAAAGAAAATTCAACAGCATTAACTGCTGAAATGAGAGCAGTAGATCAGGGCACCATCCATTATGTGGATATGATATGATGATATCACAGGACTGTCATGTGGGAAGATTAATGTGGTTTAAATTCATATATTTATCAAAATATACTGCTGGGTACATAATTCTCCACTGAACATCAGGTGAATACAGTAAAAGCAAGAAGAACGGACATGTGCTTCCAGCTGTTCTTGCTTTCTGGTGTAATTATAGTGAAACTTAGCAATGCAGCACCTTAAATACATGAAGAAATTATTGACAATTAAGGTTTGCACTGAAAATAGGTCAATATGCCTCATTTCTAATTTTAAGGGTAAAATTTTGCCTCCACAACTATAACAGGATGAAAGAAATTAGTAAACCAAACTGCCAATTCTCTAAATTACTTTTTTTATACTACATTATTTTGTACTACAATACCTCTCTTCTTTGAGAAAAGTTGGCATTATTCATAGCATGTATTTCACAATTTTTATACAAGTAGAAGAGCAAGATCGTTTGCTCACTAAGGCTGTATTCCCTATTTCAAGTCTGCAAGTTGCCAAAACATCCCACCAGTTTCTCCTGTGTTAAGATGCCTTGTCTCCAAAACATTATTTGGGTATTTCTTATTGCTGACATTCCTTATAAATTCAGGAATCTGCAGTAGGACAAACAGCTGCAAGACGCTCCACTTACTCAGCTCAAGATGTCAAAAACCCTTCTGTATGTTGTGTTACCTGTGTCAAGGGCAGGACTGAAGACTTTTCAGAAATCACATTCACTATCCTGTAATCACACATAAATATCTATTCCTTATGCTAACACTATGTATGAAGGTGCAATATTCTCACTTACTTGGTATTAACTTAAACTAAGCCTTAACATTTTGATGTTAAGATAGCCTTAAGATTTTGTGTTAATAAAATACATCTGGAGTCAGAATTTTTGGCCTATATTCCTAGACAGACATGCAGAAATGCTGTTGTGCAATGAGAGGAAAGCGATAGTTTAGGTTTGCAATACCCAAAATCAAATATTTGCAACATAATCTTCAGTTGAGGTGGGTCATCTATAGTCTACTGTATGTATATTTCCTTCAGTTGACCTAAAAACCCATCCCATTGCAACCCGCACTTTTTGTACCACTATGTCTGTGAATTTGCATTCTCTGTTCTTTAAAAAACTTACAGATTAAGTGCAAGCACCACACAAAAAAGTCTTATATGTATTTACCACAAGAGGGAGTCTTCTTGCCTCAAAAAGCAAAGTTTTTTTTGGTTCTTCATTTCTGCAGGGTATGTTTTCGTGGGGCACTTTATCCGAGATCATTAGGAACACATATCTTTGGATATGTGGGACTGTAGAATACAGCACATTCAAATACATAGACAAGTGCAGAGAAGGATTAATGACTGGTAATTTGTTTCACTCGTGAAACAACTGAATGTCCACATGGAAACAAAGTACTTTTTTCCCTGGAGATTCTGCATATTGGCCTGCTCTAAATGTGCAAAAAACCCGGAAACACTGCAGGAAATTGGGAGCTTTCTAACAATAACTGATGGAGGAGGAATCTGCCTCTTTCACTCTCTGGCTAGATACCATCTGATGCCCCACAGCATATGGCAAACATGCCTTGTCACAGCAATAAATGTAAAAGCTGGACTGCAGAATTGAAAAGAATGGGGAATTATCTTAAAAGAAGTCTACAAATGATGGATGGCTCTACATAGTTTGTACCCTACCTCTTGCCAAACAAACAAAAAAAAACCCCAGCCTGTCTGTAGATTTATTCACAAGAATTTATCTTACTCTCAGATGGAGACAAAAACTTCTCCAAAGTTTTGTTTAGTTTTTGAGGAAAGTTTTACACAAAGTCCTCTTGCTGAGAAAACGTCCTGGGAACAGGTAGAACAACCGTCTAAAATTAAAAGGAGAAATTCATAGCACAACCGTAGAAGTCACAGCTGTGACTCCCAACAAAAAAGGAAAAAGTCCTTCTCTCAGGAGGTAATTTTGAGACCTAAGAATACAGACTTACCAGTCAAGTATTGACGACTTTGTGTTTCTAGACCACTGAAGTCAGCTTTATAGAAAGAAAAACTTACTGACCAAGATCTGGGCACTAGAATCAAAAGCAATGAATACACAGAATATAATATATACAGGTGCTTGTACAATACCTCAGGGATATCCATCATTCTCCTTAGTTTCTGATCTCTCCAGTTCCAATCCAGAATCATATATTTTGTGGAGTTCAAGAACAGGCCATCTAAAAAGGCAACATACATTTTACTATCAAGATAATGTGACATGTGCTTATGAAAATGATCTTTGGCTTTTATATCTTTTGCTGTCTGTTTCCAAGGAAACTAACCTTTGAACACTTAAGTACTACATTTGCTGTTTGGAAAACTAATGCACTGACACTGCAAACTCCCTTAACCACATAAGCCCAGGCTTTTTTGGAAGATAAACACAAAAGTAGAGCAACTACTGTTGCCAGGCTCGTCAAGAGCTAACACTTTGCCAGAAAATAATTCCTCAAGCTTCCTCATGATGAAACCACAGGAGTTGAATTTCCACAGCTGATGAGCTGGTAGGTTACAAGGACCCTAGCCTGAAAACTCCTGTTAACAGGAACTGACAGTGTTTAGCAATTTACAGGACTGGGTGCTATGCAGATGTGAGTCAGGTCAGTGGTGCTGCTGAAGCATTCCTTTATCTTCCAAATAAACAGTGGCGAAAGAAGAAAAATATCTTTTCTTAACTGGCCCTCCAGCTGTTCCCATTTTCCCCTGGTCTTCTACATGAAGCCCACAATTTTTCTTATCAGTTTTGACTCTTCTTCATTCTCTAGTGACCTGTCACTGCAACACTAAGGTGTGAAAAAAGGACTAGACCTTAGGATAAGATGATACACCTTGTGTGCCGGCCATAAGCTGCCTCCATCTAGCATGGCAATGTGCTGACATGCTGAGCAGTAAGGATTTAATGTTGGTGGAGGGCACAGGAAGCAACAAAA